ATCGCCTTATTTTGTAGCCTGTTCATGAGGCCAGAAATAGAGTTTGCTGCTAGTAAGGAGCCTGACACAATGATGTTGTGTTTAAAAATGTACTGAAGAAATGTGCAAATATATTCTACAGAGTAAGGTTCCACTAGAACTTAATATCATCCCAAAGAGAATGTTTTGCAGGAACATTCTCAATGATCAATTGAAGGATCCCTTTTGTGGGTTACCTGGGACCACTTCCCCCTGCCTTGGTGATGTTTCTGTTTGTTTTTCCATACTCACATTCTTAGGAGAAAATATACTGAAATTCAAAACTGCTAAAAAATATTTTATGTTATACTTTTAAGAAACCCTGGCTAGGCATGGTGGCTCATGTCTGTGATCTCAGTACTTTGGGATGCCAAGATGGGAGGATTGCTTGAGCCCAGGAGTTTTAGACCCACCTGGGCAACACAGTGAGACCTCATCTCCATTAAAAACAAACAAACGAGCAAAAAAACAGCTGGGAGTGATGGCACACTCCTGTAGTTCCAGCTACTCAGGAGGCTGAGGTGGGAGCCAAGATTGCACCACTGCTCTCCAGCACTCCAGCCTGGGTGACAGAGTGAGATCCTGTATCAAAAAAAAAAAAAAAAAAAAAGAGAAAGAAAGAAAAAAGACCCTCTAATGTGTGAAAAATCTGTATTAATAAAAAAAAAAATTAGGAAGTATTCATTCCCTGAGCCTGGCTGCTGTTGCCTGTGTGTTAATTTATAGATTTATTAATTACTTGACAGAGAAGGCAAAAGTACAAAATGTACAACTAAATTATGAGATATCAAGGTACCACTGTCAATTAAAAATAAAAAAAAAGTCGTATTTTAGAGCAGAAAGGTCAATGTCAACATGATCATTTCATAGAGGAGAAAACAGAGAGGTGAAACCACTTGCACAGAGTCACACAGCTTTGCAGAGTAGGGCGGGGTAGGGCAGAGGAGTAGCTTGTCTCTTTCTGGCATGCTGCTGATACAACATCTCAGAGCTGGTGGCATTGATCAGAGGAAACAGAACTTTTGATTTAACCCCACTTTTCATGTACATCTATGATGCATTTCAACAACGAAGAAGCATCTTTTGTACTGTCTGCCAGACAGGGATCCTTACTATTGATATGTTTGAAAGTTAATTACATGGAGGAGTGAAGACGGCACACCCATCTCAGAGACTAACCACCGCAAATGACAAGCAAAAAAGACGGAGCCGTTACAGCGATCATGGTCGGGTTTATTTTTCCCAGACTACCATGTGGGGAGTTAAACATACCCACCCTCAGGTCGGGGACAGGCTCGTGATGATGCTCAGGGTAGTGGTGGAGCCCCAGAAGCCTCCAATTTCCATTTTGGACCCACGGAGATCTCCAGGGTGCCTATCACTCTTGGCCCAGGCCTGGGTTTTCCAGGAACTTCCCTGATTGATGTTTTACTGAACATGGTGCCGAAAGTTAGTCACAGCAAGACATTATCTCAGCTGTCTCTGGGCAAATGCTCTCTGAAACCTCCACATTGCTTTTAAAGTATCATGGAGAAATGTAGCATTTATGCCTTGGGAGCTAGCTATCTATGCAGAGCTAAAATAGAAAATCTTCTCAAGTTGAGTGTAAACAGATCCTCAACAAGACTGAGACTCTTATTGCTTGTGGATGTGTGGGGACTGGAGTCAGCTACATTATCACTTGTATTTTTCCTGCCCTTGGGTTGCTCTGTGGAAACCGTTTGATGCCTTCCACAGCTAACGCCCCTAAGGAAAGACCTTAGGCAGATATACACTGAAAGTATACTCATCTGTAGACAGCTGTGGGCAAGGATGTTGGAGTTTAGCATCTCTGTTAACTCGCATAATAGTAAAAATGGGAAGCATTGTGCTAACATTTTATTTTTTAGAACGGCTGCAACTATCTAAATTATAATACAATCTTAACAATTTAACATTCAGATACAATTATGCAGAATGAAGTGCACCCATCTTAAGTGTACAGTTTGATGTGTTTTTGATAAATGCATATACTAGCATAGCCAACATCCCATCAAGATATAGAGCATTGCCATCACCCAAGAAAGTTCTTTATGCCTCTCCCTAGTCATTTGAAACTTTCCCTTCTCTACCCACCCCGGGCAGCCATGATTCTGATTTCTAGCTCTAGATCAATCTTGCCTGTTTTTGAGCTTTACATAAATGAGCTAATACAGTATGCACTCTTTTGGCTTATACATTATGCTTTGGAGACTCATTTATGTTTTTGCATGGATTAGTAGTTCATTCCTTTTTACTACTAAGCAGTATTGCATTGAATGGATATATCATGATTTGTTTATCCATTCTCCTTTTGATTTACATTTGGGTTGTTTTAGTTTTTGCTATTATGAACAAAGCACCTACTGACATTCCCATAGAGGTATTTTTGTGGAATTTTCATTTCTTTTGGGTAAATAGCTAGGGGTAGACTTGCTGGATCTAAGTTAGTTGTATGTTTAACCTTATAAGAAACTCTCAAACAGTTTATATAACGCACTCTTAATGAACCTTATTACTTATGAAGCGAGGTCTTCTAAATTTTTTGTCTTTTGATTTTTGTCTTAAATTGCATCGATATTAGATGTGTGGACATTCTTCTGAAATATCTTAAGGATCAGACCTTGATTAACTGTGTCATTTTAGTAGATCTTTAATGCTTCTGAGTTGTTTATACAAACAGTTCAAAATCTGAATGACTCCCACTAGAAAACCAGAATGATCTCTTTCATGGATCTCTCCCATATTTTTATTGGTCTTCTTTAATGTTTTATACATACAAAAATATGTGGAACATGTGTTAGTTATTAAGCATAATTATAAAATGGAAATTCGTAAATCCGTCACTCAATCCAAGAGTGAACACATTTCCAAATTACAGTGGAAACCCATATGCCTAGGAGCTTCTTATCCTATCCAAAGGAATTCACATCCTTCATTAATTCTTTTGCTAAAACAAAAGCAAAACGAAGCAAAAATATTTATTATTTGAAGTAAGGGATTTCTATAACTTTTAAAGTTTTTCTTGCTTTTAAGAGCTTTATCAAAATGGTGTTATGCTGTGTGCGTTTTTGATACTTGTATATTTTTACTCAGTGTGTTTCAAAGATCTGCTCATGTTGTGTGGGGCTGTAGTTTATTCACTTTTGCTGCTAACATTCCTTTCTGTGAATATTCGCAATATATTGTATTACTTGATACTTGTCAGTTGTTAGTTGTGCTGTTTCTCATATTTGCACTTGATGTATATGATATACGTTACATTTTTTTGGGGAGTCTGGTACATTTAGCAGAATAATTTGAGATGAAACTATTATCAAGTAAACGGCATTTTTAAGAAATGAAAACAAGCAATCAGTTTCTGCTCCAAAAGAGGGAGAATCTATAAGATACCTGGGTAAAATGGTATAAAATAAAAAGTGTGGTGCATTGTCAGTGTGGGTGTAAAGCAAAGACTCCAATTAATTTTTGTCTACATGATTTTATTTCAAGGTTGAAAAACTAGGTTGGACTTGTGTATGTAGAATATAATCACTGAAGAAATACAAATCACATCCTTTGTCCATGTGGTCAAGTTAGAGCCTAAAGACAACCTAAATTTTTGTTCTTTTTTTTTTTTCCCCTAAATATTAAGCTATATAATGACACACCTCCCACTTCACTGTTTAAAATAACTTAGTATGATTGATTTCCAACTACTTCAGGAAAACACATTTAAAAAATTCACAAATGAAAATCATTTTATTAAAAAAACACACAAAAACAAATAAATCCTACAACCCCTACAAAAACCCGCATGTATTTAAAAATTCTATATACCTCTTTATGTTCTTGGGGACAAATAGGCATATTTATTACTAATACTAAAAATACATTGGGTAGTATTTGAAGATTTTATATTAGCACTAGCCTTTTAAAAATCAGCTCTAAATTTTTGTCTTACAAGATATGTATCAAAAATTCTGAAATCAAGTACAACGAAATTATATATCAGTATTTCTTTGCATTTAACTCCAGAGTGAATCTGTAGGAATCAAGACCAACCTCATGCAGAGAACTTCCTGATGAAATATTTAAAAATTAGTAGACTGGACTTTAATTCTTCATGTGTGGTGTCTACTTTTTAAATAATACATTTTAAGTTTAAGATTCTAATACATTTCTTTCTCTGTTAAATCTAGGAACATCTAAAACTGAAACTCTTTGTTTAAAAATCAAGCTGAATTTCAGTTAAACAAAACCATCCCATTATATGAATAACTTTCTTAGGTAAAACAAGGTTTATTTTCCTTCTATACAACTGACTCTGAATTGAGCTAGAAATTTCCAAGGAGAAAAATGATCTAGGAAACAACTTTAGAAAAAAAGGGCTAAGTTTCCGTTATGATAGTTTTTGACTTGTTTTCAGCTCTTAATTTAAAAAATTATTCACGAACGATGGATACACGTTCTAATGCAGAAATCTTTTAAAATTAGAGAGTAATAAAAGAAACCTACTACCTTCGTTTACATCAGGTCCCCTCTTACCATTCTACCCGATTGTTTATGAGACAACCACTTCTTATCTCGACAATTCACAACTCTTTTATTAGCCATCCTAAAAAAATTTATTATTGACATCAATTAGCCCGAGTCATGAAATCGGACCGCATTAAGGGCGACACATGGTCCAATTACTGTTTGTAAAAGTCCACGTATTTCAAATTCCTCTCTCCTGCCATTGCTGGGCTGTTTCCCTCTTTGAGGACCTGGTCTCCGCAGCATTTATTCATTAGATGGCAGTCCTAGGGAAGTCTCGCTTTGGGGAACCTCTCCTCCTGCACATTCAAGAAAACCACCGCGGAGAGTTAGGGTCGGTACTGGTTTCTAGTCACTTACGTAGCAAACGAAGCAAGAGGAACGTGCCCGGGAGGACTCAAGACAGGTGCGGGTGGGTTTCCGCAGTAGCCGCTGATCCCGAATGCATGCCGCCTGTTCCCGGGTCGGGACCGCAGCCAAGGGAGGCTTCCCGGCCCCAGCCTCCACCCCCTTCTCGGGGCCCCGGACACGCCCCCCAGCTTCGGAGCCCCGCAGCGTGCACGCGCCCCGGCCGCTCCCCGCAGCCGCCCACGTGGTGGAGCCCTGAGCCGCGCGAGGCCGCTGAGAGCGCTCAGGGCGGGCCGCTGGTCCGGGAGGCCCCGCCAGCGCGACCCAGCCGAGTCGGTCCCCAGCCCGGGCCCCCACATTTCCTCCCCCGGAGGGAGGGAGGCGACTCTCCGCGTGCTACCCTCCCCGGCGCCCGCCGCGCCCTCTGGCGGCCACCGCGGGGACGCGCCCTGGGCACGCGGGGCCGCCTGTCTGGGCCCCCCTTCCGGGGCGCGGGGCCCGAGAGGGGCGGCGGGGTCCTGTCTCCTCGCGCCACTCCAGGCCGAGCCACGCGGGCCGCGCCCTTCCCCCTCCGCTCCCCGCGATCCCCGCAACTCCCGGCTCCCCGGTCGCAACGCCGCGGGTGCCCCAGCCTGGCGTGAAAGTGCCCGGCGTAGTAGCCTGGGGGGGGGGTCCCCTTTTTCCCAGGTGCGCCCCTTCCGCCACGTTCAGGCTTTCCAGTACATAGCGAAAAAAATGCCGCATGCACGCACTTATTTATTTTGCAACAGCTGCAAGGAACAATGAAGCTTTTCAAGAACCAGGGAAACGCGCTTTCCAGCCGCGCTGTTGTTGTTTTCAATGAACCTCTCCCAGCACCGCACTCCCCGCCCACCCCTCCCCTCGCCTGCCCACCCCGCCCCTCGCCTGCCTACCCCTCCCCTTCCTAACCTTTCCCTGCCTACCCACCCCTACCCCGCCGAGACCGGGTCGGCGGCGGGGGCATTGTTTTTGGAGTCGGGCGGGAGGGGAGGGCGCGTGCGGGGTGGCCGGCGCAGTGCTGCACTGGTGGGGGCGGGAGCGGGTGGGCACGCGCGCGTGTCTCTGTGTGCGCGCGGGAGTCGGCGGGGCGGGACATGGGGGCGGCGCCTTGCAGTCTCGCGCCCCACGCCTGGGCTCCGCTCCGCACGTCTCGGGGATCCCGGGCTCCGGTTTTTGGCTCGTGCCGGCCTGGGCCGGGCCCTCGGCGCGCGGCTGCTGCGGCGGTGGCCGCTCGAGTGTGCGAGCGGGCGCGTGTGCGCGGACCCGGGCGCGCGCGCGCGCGCGAGCCCCCAGTGTGTGGCGGCGGCGGCGGCGCGGCGAGGCTGGGGCTCTTGTTTACCAGCATTAACTCCGCTGAGCGGAAAAAAAAAGGGAAAAAACCCGAGGAGGAGCGAGCGCACCAGGCGAACTCAAGAGAGGCGGGAGAGCAAGAGGGACGCCGCCAGCGAGCCTGTCCGCGGCCGGCGCTCGCAGACCCTCGGCCCCGCTCCCCGGACCCCCCCCCGCGTCCTCCACGCCCCTCCCGCGCGGGGGCAGCTCCACGGCGCGCCTCGCCTCGGCTGTGACCTTCAGCGAGCTGGAGCCCCCGCGCAGAGCCGGCGGCGGCGGGCGGGGGCCGGGCGGGGGCAGCGCGGGGCGGGCGGCGGCGCGGAGCCGGGCGGCAGAACGCGGGCAACCCCAACGCAGGCCGGGCAGCGCGGCAGGGTACTGAGCGCAGCGCGCGGCTTCAACCCGCCGCTTTGTGTGTGTCCTGGATGGGGCGGGCGGCGGCGCGGAGCCGGGCGGCGCGGCGGGAGTGCTGAGCGCGGCGCGGCCGGCCCGCCGCTTTGTGTGTGTCCTGGATTTGGGAAGGAGCTCGCGGCGGCGGCGGCGGCGGCGGCGGCGGCGCTGAGGGAGGAGGCGGCGGCGAGCGGAGCCCGGAGGAGGAGGAGGAGGGGGAGCCGCTCATTCATTTGACTCCGGGTTTCTGCCCCTCGCTGGCCTCGCCTGCGACCCGGACTTGGGGCGATCTTGCGAACTGCGTCGCGCCCTCCCGCGGCGGAGGCTCGGGCGTCCGGCCACCTCCCGCGCGGCCAGGGCCGGGCTTGTTTTTCCTCGCCGTGGCAGATTTGGGCTTTGCCCCCTTTCTTTGCAGTTTTTCCCCCTTCCTGCCTCTCCGGGTTTGAAAATGGAGGCCGACGACGCCGACAGCCCGCCCCGGCGCGCCTCGAGTTGCCGACTCCGCCGAGCCCTGGGCCGCTGCTGCCGGCGCTGAGGGGCCGCCCCGCGCCGCCCGCCCCGTCCGCGCACCCGGAGGGCCCCGGCGGCACCGCCTTCGGAGTATTGTTTCCTTCGTCCTTGTTTTTGGAGGGGGAGCGAAGACTGAGTTTGAGACTTGTTTCCTTTCCTTTCTTTTTTTTTTCTTTTTCTTTTCTTTTCTTTTTTTTTTTTTTTTTTGAGAAAGGGGAATTTCGTCCCAAATAAAAGGAATGAAGTCTGGCTCTGGAGAAGGGTCCCCGACCTCGCTGTGGGGGCTCCTGTTTCTCTCCGCCGCGCTCTCGCTCTGGCCGACGAGTGGAGAAAGTGAGTATGTGCCCGCCGCCCGCGGCCACTGCGGGAACTTTTCCTTCGAGGGGCTGCGCCCTGTTTGCGAAACCCGAGTTGCCACCGTCGCAGCTGTCGGGCCCCCGGGCTCGGGAGCGGCGGGGCGGGGCGCGGGGTGGCTCTGCCGGGAGGGAGGCTGCGGCGGACCTGAGATCCGGGCTCGTTCGTCTGGAGCCCCGCGGGCCCTGGCTCCGCACATCCCCCGTGCTGGAAGGGCCTGAGGGGCTTTCTCTCTCGCCGTGCCGACAGTCTTGTCCCCCGGCTAGGCTCGAGGACTCGGTAGGGAAGTTGGTGCCGGGACGGGCTCCTTGGGTTCCCAGGCCCCGCGACCCGCACCTCGCCCCTCCGGAGCGCACGAGCCTCTCCGCACATAGCGCTGATCTGCTGCGGCGCGAAGGCAGCGGGGACAGCATCCTGGGCCGCACCGCGTCTCCGCTGCTGGGGCTGATCCGGCAGTGGGGAGCAGGCATCCGCCCGGCCCGCGGGGTGCGAGTTGCCCTTGAGGGGGGGAGGTGCCCTGCGGAGAGGCCCCGAAGCCCCAGGACACGTCTCCAAGCGCCTGGCGCTGCCTCCCGTCGCCCAACATGCTTTTCCCCTCGGGCTCCTAGGGTTCCTGGCCTTGCCCGTTACTTTGGGCCGCTCCTCGTTGGGTTACCTGCCCCTGGCGTCCCGGGGCTGGGCGGTGGGGTGAGGGGAAGCGCTCTCTGGGCAGCTCCCCGGGGAGTGCGAGGCCGGTGCGAGGCCGGTAGTCTTCCTCAGCTTGTACGGGGAGCGCCACTGGGCCCCCAGTTCAGAGGGCTCTGGGATGGCCTCTCAGTTTCTCCCGGGCAGGGGGATGGAGGGGTGCTAGGGCCGCATCCGAATGTGCGTTGGTAGGTGTGTGGTCGGAGCCGACGTGCATTCCGACACACGTGCTCGCAGCGCGGGGTGTAGTCGCCGCCTCACGGGGACACCGAGACGCCCGTCCCTGGCGAGAGGTGTCGTACGCTGTGGGTTTCTGGAGCGCCAGGGTCTGCGGCGGTGGGGGAAGGGTGTTGTGTTTTGCGAGCGCGGAGCCCTGGCCTTGGTTTTGTTGTGGCCGGCGTCGTGTCGCCCTCCCTTCTGCCGCCCCGCACTTCCTTTGTACGCAGTTAATAAGCAGTATCGTTCCATACTCGCTATGTTTTGCAACCTGATAGCTTTTGTTTTGGTGGTGTCGGGTGGGGGTAGGTAGGGAAGCGCGGGGATGCAGGGAGTGGGAACTCCCCCCGGTGTGTACAGCCCCAGGAGGTGGGGGGTTTATTCTCAAAAAATGGAAAGTGTGGCTTACTGGTACATTCAAGATAGTAGGGTAATTTGAACACGATTAAAAGTTTAAATGTCGCAGAACTGGGACCGGGAACGGTGAGGGCGTGTTGGTGAGTAATGGTAGCCGAGGGTATGCAGGTGGTGCCGATTAACTTCCAAAAAAATCACGACTGAGCCTTCAAGAGTGAGGGGGAGAAGTAGGAGGCAGCGGAGGTTGTCTGGCCCCATCACTGGGGCAATTCAGAAAGGCTGTTTCTATAAACAAATCCTTAAACGTCTCTTAAGAAATGAGTGCGCGACAGAACGAGAGCAGATCGTGGTTCGCGTGTTTACTGCCGAGTGGGACGCGGACTGGGGCCGGACCTTGCACAGATCTGGGCTCTCATGCTCTTTGTTTTCTAAACTTTAAGCGGACTCGATTGGGCGAAAGCCTTCCAGCTCCCTTTACTAAGTCGTTTAGGTGGTGTTTGAGGGGGACAAAGGAGGGTTTTTTATCTTTAAATGATAAGTACGGTTTAGAAGACACAGGAGAAATAATCCATTTTATTGTGGTGTGCAGTTAAACTGTAGAGCTTCTCTAGTTTTGTGTTTTTAATGTTCTGAAATTCAAAATAGCAGGGATGGCCTTCTCCGACGCAGGAGTCGGGCATTTTAAAATAGGCTGTTTTTCTTTTGGAGTGTTTTTCTTGAAGGATATTCTTTGTGCGAGACGACGGTTTTTGAGAACACAGACAGGAGGGGAGGGGGTGTTTTAATGTATGTTTTTACTCCATGATGCCAAAGCTTCCCCCAAGGATCCCTTTACAAGTGGTTAGTTCCTTGAAACCTCATGGGTGGTCAGAAGACACCCCAAATCTCGATTATGGTTTGTTGAAGTCTTGACTGACTCAGTACCTGCCCCTCCCTCCATCTCTGAAATGTGGAGGATTAAAAGCTATGCATGTGAACGGGCGTTCAGTTTTTAGCCGGGAAGGTGCTAGACCACTTAACTCTGATAGAAATAAGGTGCTGAGCCGTATCAGGGAGGGCATTCTTTCAGCTGTTGTCTGGTATAGAAATAAAGGCAGGGTGGTGTTGGTTCAGTTGCAGGTATTTTGCTGGCATATTGAAACATTAGAGTTTTCTCTTTTAGTGTGATGGCAGTAGAAAGAGTGCTGTTTATCTTAGAAAACTTAGTTTCTGAAGCAAAGGCAGTCATATGGATGTGTTTGTTTTGTATCACCATAATGTGAACCAGAGCATCTAAATGAAGGAGGTTCGGAGGTTCTGAGTGATAGCCAGATAATCTGATGGCTGTTTTCTTCCTAAAAAGTCAGCATGCACTTTAAATTTATTGTACCCATCTCCTTAAAAGGATTCAGTCATCTTTCTACCCCAGGCATCTTATTGTCAGAGAAATGTAGGTATGTGAAATGTTGGTGTTTAAAGAAGTTAGTGTTTATTACCAGATGGAGAACCCCGAAAAAGAACGTTTGAAAGAACCTAAACAGCAAATTATAGTTTAGATTCTCTAGAAAGACATAGCGAGTAAATGGTATTTTGTGGAAGGGTGGGGTTTGTGTCAGGATTTAAAATTTAAAAGATCATATGTTTGATTTGTCGAAAAGATTAGAAAAGTCCAACTCTAAGGAATATGTTAAGGTTGAATAGATGAAGCTTAAAAATATCACAAAAAGTGAAAGAAGTCAGTCACAAAAGACCACATATTATATGATCCGGTTTATGTGAAATGTCCAGAATAAGCAAATCCATAGAGGCAGAAAGGAGATGAGTGGTTGCCAGGGGCTGGGGGTCGATGGAATGGGGAGTGACTGCTGCTAGTGGGCACAGGGTTTCTTTTTGGGGTGATGAAAATTGTTCTAAAATTAGTTTGTGGTGATGGCTGCATAGCTCTGAATATACTTAAAACCATTGGATTATATATATACTTTAAATCGGGGACTTTAATGGTATGTGAATTACATCTCAAAAAACCCGTTTTGGTTTTTTTAGAGAAATGTGCTCAGGTTGAAAATAACTTGTTATGCTACCTTAAATTACATTAAAGTTATTACATATATTTGGTAGGCTGATGTCTCTCTCTCTCTCTCTTTTCTTTTATGAGTTTTTCAGATCCGTGTGTTGCAGCAATACAACAAACTGATAATTGAAGCTTAGCAACTGGGATTCAATCCCCTAGTAGAAATGGGCAAGCAAGAAAAAAAGAATCTTGGTTCTATGTAGCTTCAGTTAGGGATTGAGGAGCTGGATTGAAAAAACACAAATACTGGTGGAAGGCAGATTTTTGACAATAGAAACCTCAACTGAATCTGAAATGATGGTTTTTTCCAAGATAGAGCTTAGTCTGAATGGCTGTTTGTATTTCCAGTTTTATTATGTTTTCCAACAAAGAAATGCTGTTTTAAGATGTTTTAAACGCTCATTTTTTGATATGCCATATTGACCACAAGTGGTTGTAAGGACTGAGGATGAACAGTTCATTTTAATGCAGTATTATTGTTTCTTTTCTTTGTAGTTTTATTTTATTTCTTACATAGTTCCAGGGTCTCAGCAGGAGAAAGAAACTTTAGGATGCAGTAGTTTTAGGATACAGTGTTTCAGATATACAGTGATTTTTATAAAATTAAAATTCTTTACAGAACAAAAGATTTTAAAATGTGGCAAAGGCATTTTTGTTTTGAAACTGTGTGCATTTATCCAAATCTACCCTGGCCTTTCAATAGGAAAAGACCTAGAGAATAATTGTTGTTTACATTTGCTTTTCATCTTTGTCTAAGGCTTAGTTTACTAATAAAAATGTTTCCTGCCCTTCCTATTGTTGCAAGATCAGGACAGTAATGAAAATCAACTGTATCATTTTCACTTGTTGCCTTAGAGTTTTTGCCAAGAGGAACCCTCAAGGGATGGTGGTTTCCTTTTAAATCTGGTTTCATTTGTTTCGTAAGAATGTGCTGTAAGAAGCAACTGAATCCAGCCAGCACTTATTGTGCACCTACTGTATGAAAGCTGACCTTGTGCTACTCAGTGCATGAGCCTGCAAAGTCTTGCATGAAACCAACTTTCTTGAAATTCAGATTTTTTTTTTTTTCAGATTCAGTATAGGATGCAGTTTTCAAGTAGACAGTAGGCAGCATTTTGAAGGTTCTTTTAAAAATATTTCTGTAGACTTAAGACTCTAGTGTTGTTCATCCAGAAGCCTCTACCGTACCGTTTTTGCCTCATTGGTGCTTTCCATTATATGGGGATGCCACTGTAGACCATGACATATAGGTGATGTTAACCCATCTTGACTGGCAGCACTGCCTTTTTTATAACATTGGATATGGCAATGTGATTTAAAAAGTGCAGTACTGTAGTTGCCTTTTTCCAAAAATTAGGAGTCACAGGTGTGTACATGAATGTTGCATGGCATGTTTTGAGTTGTAAGAAAGATGGGACTTATGTCTGAAGTTTTCTGGATTACATATTGCTTAGCTAGCTTTCTAGAAATCATCGGCATTCGTAATTTCAGGGCATTTTATAATTTATAAATAACTTGGTGTTTTTAAAAGCGTGAGGGAGTAAGAGTGAGGAGACAAATCCTGAAAGCTTTTGTTTCTTAGTTGTAAAGCATACAAGATATATTTCTTTCTAGGTTGTGATTTTCTCCAATTTGTTTTCAAAACTCATTTAAAAATCAAACCTAGTTCATG